ATACATGGAGATTTTAAATAAATTTATCTTAGGCTTTACAAATAAAAAACCATGACATTAACAAAAGCATAAAACTGAAATAAGCATGATAAAGCATGGTGTCTGACAGAACTAATGTGAAAATAAATTTAAACAGACCCAAGACTGCCAGAGGTCTGCACAGTTGAGAGAGTCAGCATTAGTGTAAGTCTGACACCCTGAACACAGTAAATCTGAGCACAGGTTGAAGAGGTGATGACTGCTTTTTTCATCAGCATTTCCCTCCATCTGGCCATTCTCCCTCCAGCAGAAACAGTGGGAAGGGAATTCTACCATGCATGCATTGGATCCATGGATCTGGCCATGGATCCAGTGCATCTACATATCTATGTCTGGAGGAGCAAATTGTAACAATAGCAGTAAATTCAGAGAACACCCCAAACAAAAGAAATAAAAGAAAGAAAATTATCCTTGTGCACACAGAGAGGAAAAACATAGAAATGCTACAAGTTTTAATATCTAAATCTAACTGCAGTCATTTGTTGTTAAGCTCTCTGCCTATAAGAATGATATTAGATAGGCAATATTAGGCCATTTGGCTTGTAATTGCTGCTTCTTACTCTAATCTCAATTTGGAAACTGGCAAAAAAACCGGCTTGCTTGTCCCTATTTATCCCTGTTGTTTTGCTTCTCTGTTGCCTTTCTCTTTTGGTTTTTGGTTTTGTTTTTTTTCTTATTCCACTTGGAAAGCTTCATTTAATACTGTGCACATGCAAAATTAAGATAGGATCTCTGCTGAAGTTGGAATAGTTGGATTGGGGAAAGGGAGCTGGTACCAATTCAGTCCTCTGCTCTCAGCTGCAGCTTGTTCTGTTTCTGCATCATCTCCAGGGTCCTCCCTGCACCAGACACCCATCACCACTCCTGATGGCTCCTCAGGAGCTCTCAGCCTTTCCTTGTATATTCATTACGTTTACTTCTCTTCACTTTCTGCTTCTCTTGCCTTCTCCATTGGTGTCTCTTGATTTCAGCATTTCCTAGCTCAGGGAACATCTCTCTTGAAATTCTCATGCTGACTTCTCCTGGTTCATATGTATCAATGCAGGCTTCACATTCACCACATTGCCATCTGAACTTCTCCATGTTAGTTGCAGTCATGTTTATAACAGAGCTTGCTGTTGAACTGTTCAAAATGCCTGGCATGTGTAAAATTTCTGCATCCTCTTCAGCCAGCAGTGTCTTCATCCTCACTTCCTTGGCCTTCTGCTGCTTTTCTTCCTATAAGCAATCATTCCTTCAGAATGTAATACAGCAGTTGCCCCTCTAGCTGTTTTGTGGGCTGTCACTAGGTTCTGTCCTGGACCTATTTTTTCTATGTAAAATTTATTTCTCATCCACTGCCCATCTCAACTATTTCCTCTAGGAACATGAATCACACATCTGCCACTCCCATCTCGTAACTTCACCATCAACTCAAATTCACCCCAGAGGTCTGAATTTTTTTGACCAAATCTCGCTGTATTACCACCTTCCTCACTCATTATTTGTGAGTCAAGACTGCAGACAATTTGGCACTTTCCTATACATTCTCACATGTAAATCACATATGAATTCTACAGTAGTCTCCCTGGAGAAGTATTCATGTTTCCAGTTAAACCTATCCAGGCCATTTTGATTTTAGCAACCTCCTTTTCCCTTGCCTTCCATAAATAAATTTTTGTGCTGCTCATACTTATTCAGAACTTGTAGAAAAAAAAACTTGATTACTTTAAATGTAAGAAACTTGTATTCTTATTTGAGATGCCTGAATAATCTGTTCTCTCTAGCTAGGGATCTATTGCCTTTCCTCGAAGAACTAGAACATTTTAAATTGCTCACTTTTTAAATCTCTGTGATATTTTCATACTTGTCCTAGGCTGTACCTCCCATGTGAGGGGAAAAAAAGCACCTTTTTACCATTCATCAGATTACTGTTGCTCAAGCATGGTTCAGTTTCTTGACGTAAAGTGAAAAATAACACATTGGTTATTTAACTGACACGAGTTCACTGCCCCTTGCAATTGCCCCAGGTGCATTCTATGCATTGTGTCTCCCCTTCTACCTACATGAGAAATGGATTAAGAGGAGTATCAGTGTATTTCTGGTTTTGATGAACTGCTCCTGCAGTTGGATCTTGGTCCACACCTAGATACTTTGGAGTATGCAAAGTAAAGAGCTGACAAATAAAAGTGATCCTTCAGAGGTTTTTGTCTGTCATTCCCAGTGGTCTAGCTCTTAGTGAAGGATTAAAATGAGTTTGTCCTTCTAGACAAACTGCAGGAGTGTGCTGTTTGATCCATGGCATAAGGTATTCCACTGCATTCCTCATCCTCCTGAAGCATCTCAGAGCTTCCAATAGAGAAAATGCATATAACACAGAAATCTGTTACCATAAAGTTTTAACTAAATGTTCCTGGTTTGCAAGTAAATTTGGATTTATTGCAGGATGAATATATAATTTACTGAATTAAAAAATATACAGTATCAATTAGTTACTTCTAGCATACAATAATAATCAGTTGATTTCCAGCTGACATGGTACTTTCTCTGTATTATTAAGGTTTACATGAATTTTAACTCTCTTATCTATTAAATCTTCCTCAGATACGTCATGCAATCTACTTACCTATTATTAAACATGACCTCAAATTCTTTCCAGTATTGTTTTATTCATGGGTGACTCTTGAAAATCCTTAGAGATGACTAAGATCAGATATTTTAGGAAAAAAACATTTTTATAAAGATTGCAAGGACTTTTTCCTTCCATTTGAAAGAGCTACTTAAGGAATAAGTTTCTTCCTCTTTTAACTAATATGCTCTTTCTGAGCCCACTCATTGATTTGTCTCACTTTAAAAATCTGCGCATTACCATACCCCACTAAATTTCAATTGGGTCATTTGAAAAGTGCATAGGAAGTAAGTTGTTTTACTTAAAAACCTTAGACAGAAGAAAACATAAAAATGCAATGAAGTCATTAAAAAAGCTAAAGGTTCTTTAAAAGTTTCAGTTCATGGATTCACAGAAAGGGAAAATAGATATTCTAACCAATAGAAAATGTGCTATGGAATAATAATTTTTAAAAAATATTTTTAAAATTTTCACTTTACAGTGAAAATGAGATAATCTGAAAATAATTACAAAAATTAACAAATTGCTTTGTAAATTAGCCAGGATTTTCAACCCCATAAAAATATTAATAGTGTTTTTTCTCATTATCTCATTACCTTACTTAAAAATGTAAAATTATACTAGAAGATGATTGAGATAGAGTTCTTACAGAGAAGATGGAACCATAATGATTTTCATTTACAAAGAAAAAAAGTGAGCCAGAAAACCCCACAATAACTATTTTTCAAAGTATTGGAAGAAACTAAAAAGAACCTCTTCAGGCTGAATTCTTTATTGGTTTAGTTAGTGTTTGGCTATTCCTGATCTCACTCTTCTAATATCCTGAAGCATTTTGGACACTGTGTATTATTACTTCTCCAATTCACCCTACTACTAGCTATTGAAATGCCAACTTTGACTTTTATTCTATTAAATTTGTCAGCACTTAATAAAATACCAGATGTAATTCTTTTCTGTTGTATTATTTTTAACACTAAAAAGTCGTCTCAAGTATTTTGAGTCTCTAAAACCTTAATGGATGATGAACACATAGGAACTCACAAAACATTTACTATGTTCTTTGGAAATATTTCTGAAGAAATTCTGAGACATTTTATTCTAAGGATTAGTATAGATATTTTTTTTTTCTCATGAGTTTGTATGAACTTGGAAACAAGTTGTAGCTGGTAAATTCCTTACATGTGGACTGAAAAATACTCTGATAAATATATTCTGTGATGATTTGTTTCTTTTAACCTCACTTCTAAAGGAGTTTAAATTTTGGAAACTTGATTAGTGCAGGTCAATATTAAGACATTCTTCCGAAGAACTTGAAGGAATGTCCTACTACAGGAGGTAGCAATTAGATCAAACTAAATGGGACACTCATTCAGGTAACTTATGGGACCATTACATTTCAGAAATAACAGCATCTGGTAATATAAATGGACATAATTCACCATGAACAATAGGTTTTCTAGAGATTTTCACTCTAGATTTTCACTCTAAATAGTCAGCATAGGATTTTTTTCTCATTAAATATTTGTACCACTACATTTTTTTCATTTCAATGTTTCCTACATGTAGGATGCTCCCCCTCCCATTTAAAAATAAAAAATCAACATTTTATCCCTTTCATTTTTTATACTCCATGTGCTCTCATATTTTCTTTTACAAATACATTCCTATTCTTATATTAATGTGTAGATAAAACACTGTAATTCTAGGAACTAGACTTCTAGGAAGGGAAATCAGAAAATGAAGGATGTGACCTCTGAATAAAGAAATAAATATTGAAATGTTTGCTATCCCTTTCTATATGAAAGACTGTGAAACAACAGAAATTCATATGCAAAAGACTTGATATAACTATTCTGAGAAAAATGAAAATAAAAAATAAACAAAAAGAGGGGAAAAGGGGGGATGATCTTGAAGGTCTCTTCCAACCTAGTGATTCTGTGACCTTGCAATGGACTGATATCAAGCTCATTGATGTAAGTTCACCTTCATAGTACTGTGCCTTGGTTCTGTTTCAGGGAGAACTCAGTATACGAAGTGAGGATCCTGCCTTGTACATTTTTGTTTCTTTTTGGTGTTGTGCTTTTCATTTTCCAGCTGGAAATTACAGTTCTGGAGTAATGAGTCAGGCACAATGGTGGGCTTAACTGCTTCTCTTGTATCTGAAGACACATTAATTACATTCTCCATTCAGTTGGGCTTAGACTTGAATGGGGGGAAAAATAAATCTTATACACAGCTTAGGAGGCTGGGCACATGTCAGTGGAGGAGTAACTACAGGTTACCCCTCCTGTAGTGCACTCCCAAGAGAAATGAAAATCACAATATTCTGAGCCTGCTGATAATTCTCATTTTGCAGCCTCGGATATCCTAAATATAGTAAACTCTTTGAAATTTTCTGCTCATGACCAGTGGGGACTTACACACTATATTTATTTGATGTGAGTTTAATTATTGGGGTTTTTACTGAGGAAGATAATGAGAAATGGAATTTTACTGAGCGGGTTTTTGCACATTATTTTTCCAGGATTTATTCTTAATGACTGTGGAACTAAAGAAATTTTTAATCTTGGGAAATGACTTTTACATAGTTTTGGATTTGAAATAATTTTCTGTCCTTTCTATTCTTTGTTGAGATGACAGGAAGCCACTTATTATTGGAATCTTGGGTTCAGAAGTAAGTGGATATTTTATTTTTGCTGTATACCTACATCTGTGTGTATTGTGTAAATTTCTACTAGGAGATGGCCAACATCTCAGGATGACTTGATGCTTTTTGAACTCCATAAAAAATTAACAACCTTAAAATAGTTGGGGTTTTTTCTAAATACAATATAAAATTTTAGAAGCAAATATCATATTAAGAAAGAACTCAAAACTTTGCCTTGAATGACTTGAATTTTATTTAGTGTAGTATTAGACAGTAGTTTAAAATGGACGGATGAGTGATAAAAGTTCTTAATATAGTTCCTTCTGGTATTCTAAAGCCTATGTTTGGTTTTACCCTCTCATCTGTACAAGGATAATTAATACGTGTTTCTAATCACTCATTCCTTCTGTTCCAAAGGAATAAAAGAGGTAGCACTTAAATAGGTGTTGAGCTGCATGAAAGAAGTATTTTTGGTGATTAGAAATGGTAGAGAAAAAAGAATCCAATGACAAAAAATGAACATTAGCAGATTGACATTTTCAAGTGTCTGAATGACACAAAGAACAAGAGCACCATTATACAAACTTGTTTCCTAGAACAGAAAATGGATTGAAGAAAATTGCTTAGAATGAATTGCTATCAAGTTGAGTTACAGGGGAAAATTAAAAGAGGCTTTACAGAGCAGTCACTGGATGAGGTAGTACATCAAGACTCCAGAGTAACCATTTATTTGAGGGTTAGTATGTTATGATGGAAGTTGGGTCATTTACTAATGAATGATATGTATACATTTACCTAACGGTGGTAAACATAATTAAACAGACTTTTTCCTTGAATCATCTCCTGAAGGTAGTTTGCTATATCCTGCAGAAAAACTGCTGGCAGAAAGATCAGCTCTGTACATGAGAAGCAGCTCTGTTCCCTCGAGATTCTTTCCCCAGCTGTAATGTTAACTCTGCAGACCTGCTCTATGTCTACATCTTTTGCCAGAGTAGCTACATGACTGACCAAAACGAGAAACTTGGTCAGCTAAAAATCGCCAAAAGATAGATGTATTGCCAATAAAGTCTCTGCTGTGGCATGATTTCCTATACTTGGAGATATGACTGAGGTACAAAGATAATGATTCCTTATTTCTAGTAGGAGAGTCAGTAACCAGAGTGTGGCTGGAACAAGATCAAGCTGAGTTTGCTGCATCGATGTAATGGTATATCATGAACATTTGACCTCATTAATAATGAAATTTAACTATTCCTCTATGTCTATTTTAAGTGCAGAAAAAAATAAGAATTTATTTTTATCCTTAGTATTCCAAAAATTATGTCATTAATATATATTCTGAAGTGATAGGCAGAACTGCAAGTTTTTTTGAAGCAGATTCCAAATGCAGAGGAAGTTAGAAAAAGAGGGAAAACCAGCAGCTCTTTCAGTTAAATTAATAATAGAGCTGGCTGCTGGCAGATTCTTTTCTATTTAACCAAGTGCCTTCATTTCATAATAGGAGACATCTGGAAGTAGAGTCCCAGCGCTGCAGCAGGGTCCCCCCTGTATCTAAGATTAGTAAAATCCAGCAATAAAATAATATTAAAATGATAGGACACTGCATGTTATACTAAAGAACATTATGACCTGAAGTCTAGGAGCTGGGATATTCACTAGATGGATGTTTTGTAACAGAAAATAAGGAGTTCCTTATTTGAGCATTCAATGGCACATGAAGAAATAATTACAGAAACTGTCATTTGTTTTACCAGGACAAATGTTTGTTGTTTTAAAATGTGTGTTCTGTAAAAGGCATCCCGCTATTAAATGCTCCCCCACTCATGTTCAGGGATCAAAAGCATGAAAAGGCTCTCCCCATGCAAACAACAACAATAGCTACCACATTGTGCGCATTTATTTTCAGATGAAAAACGCTCTTGTCTCTCCAGTTAATAATCTCTGCCAATTTGGCCTGATGGATTTACTGCACATCATTTACTGCTGCTGTCCAAATAATCTCTATTCATGCCAGTAAAAGACAGTGTCAACAACTGTAATAATAGCGCACTTGTTTTTTCACCACTCCAAAAAGAAGAGACATCCTGAGTTCAGAGGGATTCTGAAAGAAATAGTGTTAATGAATAGCCTTCCCAGCTGTATGCACTATGGCAAGGGAAAAACCTCCCCAAGTATTGCATAACCCAGCACTGACATCACGGCCTTCCCCAGCAGGCACCTTGCTTGGTCTTGTTAGCATCAGTGCAATTGCACAGAATACAGGTTAGCACGGAAATGGCCTCAATATCTCTACTGAAGCCAAAAGGTTTTATCCCTGCAGATCAACTGATGTCGAAGAAACAAGATAATTTCCATCCATTTCAGCTCTAGTTCATCTAACCCAATGGGAGTAAGTAGTTATACAAATTTTGAGAAACAAGAACAAAGAGAAAATTAACTGCTGTAACCCTTCACTGACGTTTTTATGCTCCAGACTAGAACAGACAGTCTGTTCCTGAAAAAAAAAAAATAAATTCTGTATCCTTCACAAGGGTGTTCCACATTTTCAGAGGAGACCAAATTTTCTTTCATGCTTTCCTCAGTCCTGGACCTCATGCAACAGAATCTGATTTGGCAACGTCCTCTGGTAGGCCACCCACACCATCTGGAGAAGAGACTTTCTGCAGAGTGAATGAAGCAGCTGTAAGAGTGTTTTTAGGGAGGCAGATGAATAATATGGCAATAGAGGATTTGCAGGCGTTAGAGATGTTCTCCCAGTACCAGGGCATTGATTTCACTCCCTATTGATCTGAGACAACTCTGCTCGCTACACAGACCGCTTTTTATACCATAGGGTGCTGGGACCACTGGACTTTTCAACTACTGCCAGAGGCTTTTGCCACTATATTTCCATGGCTATGTAAGATCTGCAAAGTATTATCGTTTAAAGCCTCCTTCATAATGGAGACCCCAATCAAGATACGAGTACTGCTTAGTTATATCATGGTTTACATCATTTATCTGGAACAACAGATATTGAAGGAAGAAAAGATGAGCTTTTTCCAAAAGCATTGTGGACAAAGGAATCTTTTCCAATTAATTGGAGATTTAAAGATATAAAAATATCCCCCAACTGTTTCTTAACTTTTATTATGAAGAAACAAAAAGTATTATTTTTGGTGCTCAGAAAACAAATTATAAATTTCAAGATTTTGATTAAACTCCTAATATTTCACTGAAGTAAAAATCCCTGCTCCAATTGCTCTAGAGGTGAAACAAAAACATTTAGATTGAGAGAAATCTTGATTTGCAGATCTTATGGCTGCAAATAGGAAACAATTTTCATTTGCTAAATATTAGATTATTCCCAAGTTCTGAAGATAACTAACTTCTTTCAGTTGCTTTGCTACTTTCATTCAGGAGCAGTTTGTCCTTAGGAGCAGCCTTTATTTTTTAGTTATTTTATATTTTGCTTTCCAATATGCATTTTTCTTTTTATTCCTTTCCTTTCTGATAGGAAAAATAAAACAAATAATCAACATGGCTACATACCTGCTTTCTATTGCAACCATATTGTTTTAAAATAAACCCTACATAAATATATTTACAAACACCATTCAGTGTCATTTCACTCTAATCCACTCAGATCCCAGGAGATCTATTAACAAGAATCTGGGTTACCTTCCCTTCAGGGACAGGTGATAACACCTCTTGGTAACACTGTGTGATGGCCTCTGTAAAAAAACATATTAAAATTTCATGCTGAAAGTAAGGCAACATAACAAAATCCACATGTAGAGTTAGTTCTAACAGCTATTTTCCTCATGTTATGTGTATAAAGTATGTTTTACTCAGATGCTCATTTTAAATGTATGCCTCATCTGCTGCATTCCTTTTTCATTTAAAATGTTCAGTTGAAAAAACAAATGCAAGTGTTTGGAAGAGAAATTTATTCTTAGCAATATAGGATCATGAGAGATTTTTTTTTTTGTCAAAATGAGCAAGGACACATGAATTAACAACAACGTATAACAATTATCTGTAGCAAATTTTTTTACTGTTCTTAGAACCTGTTTTGAATGAGTGATTCCTTCAAAGATAATTTGAATGTACTCTTGTAATGCGTGAATTTACCAGAGAAGGGATGATTTTGGGATTTAATGGTAAAATTTCATGAAAGCTGGGGGGGGAGGTATAAATAAAAACCTAAAGGTTTAGTGCCATTTATTATAGCTAAAATATGTTTTCAGATACACAAGTTTGATCTTTTTTCAATGCACTAAGAATGAAAGGAAATTCTTTTCTGGCAATTCTGACTTGCCCAACACCAAAACCTGATTTTCACACTTCTTTTAAAATCCCTTTTATAAAAAAAAGTTTTAAAATTCACTTCTAGTGTCCCCAATAGAGTGCTAAGTTGTTTCTTTGCCCAGATTGAAATTCTTGGCTAATAAATAGGATGTATGGTTTGTTATTTGTTTGGGGTTTTCCTTGTTTTTCTGATTAAATATAACCTCTGTTCAATATAACCCTTTACAGAACAAGAAAAATTAAAGTCAAAGTATAAAAACAATCATATTTGGGGGAAAAATAAATATTGTTAAATTCCTTTTCTACTCATGATTGAAGAGGATAGACAATAAATCACTTGCAATCACAGAATCCTCCAGTTTAATTACATGCTGGCTTTGAATGGAAATCTTTGATGACCTCCACCTTCATCATAATGTGCTTTTTTAGTAATTGAACTGTGCCCATATATTAAGAGAAAGCGTAAATGCTGCACACTTGCAATTATTCAAGCTGGCTTTGTACTCTCCTTTTTTTATGTTTCATCCCACAGGTATCACTGTAAAGCAACAGTCATTATTTCTTCGTGTCCTATAAATCGTGGTCTTTCCTCATTACACTGGCCATAACACCCTGGTTCTGTTGAGTTATGTTGTTTATATGATGCTGACAGCAGGAACTTGCTTGAAATCAAGACACTTGTCTTTTATGGGGTTGAACTGTTTCTTTTGAAAGGAACCTATGGATTTTTCAGGACT